CTAGCTATCGGCCGGGTTTCGAATGAACATTATTGTGACCAACATAAATATATAGATGCTAATTGCAAGAGAAAACACATACCCTTTTTCTTCTTTGTAAACTTCTTTCGAGAAATATTGCTGATCCCCACCGTCTGAATCAACAGAAACAAACAAACATGTATATATGTAGTTGATGATGAATCAAATGTGCACAAAGTAATATTGCTAAATAGAGGGCTAGCTAGCTTCGAGCTCCAAAGTCCGCTAACTCAACAACATCAATGAAGAAATTCAGTATGAAAATTACAAAGGAGAAGTATATATATAGCTCGTAACCATCAATTACCAGGACAATAATCATGGAGAGAAAAAACAGACATATCATTGAATGGGTTTCTTATTAGGGTTTTCCTACAAAACATTAATTCCCACCACCCCTATTGCTACCAAATCTCTGATAATATTATTACAATCAAATGTACAAGATGTTCATCACTTTTAATTTTATTGATCCCCTGCAGGATAGCTACTCAACCCATTATTGAAACCACATAATTCTTGAGGCACCAGTCGCTGCTGCTCATAGCTGCCGCCGTCGACTGAGGAGGAGGCCACATGTGTAGGAGGACAAATCAGCTGCATCTCACCCCACCCAATACTTTCACCATTCATAACCATCGTCATGTCGTCCCCATATAGGAACTCCAGCGCATCTAATCTTTGTGGGTTCATGTTGTTGTACACCATTTCCTTAAGCTGATCAGTCACGTAATTACCATTTTGCCCTTGAAACATGTGCATACCATCTCCAGTTATGTCATCTGTATTGTTGTTGACCATGTACTGGGTTTGTTCAAATTGATGATGATGAGAGCTGACCATGATGTCATTGCTGTTTCTGATCAAGGCCACAGGAGCAGAAGAATGTTGCTCATAAACTTGAGAGTCAAGAGCTGGTGGGAACTGAAGATTAATGGTGGGCCCATCTTGGATAGGTTGAACATTTGTGTCATCTGAATTAAACCTTCCTCCAAGCTTGATGAGCAGTTTTCTGATGGATGCGTGGTCATTGAAACAAGACTGGTGCTGTTGTTGCTGTTGATGTTGTTGAATTGATGGGGAGTAAGGTAGGACTGTTGGCACTGCAAGCACTGGCAGCTCTGGCCAGTAAGGGCTTTGATCATCTGCGGTCGGAACCATGGGATGAGAGTTACTCCCTCCACCGCCACTCCCTGATGATCTTCTGATGTCTTGTTTGATCAGGCCGGATGATGATCTGCGAGCCAGCTGTAGTTCTTTACGCTGCTTTCCCAGAAGCTTCTTCTTCAGCCTTGTGTTCCAGTAGTTCTTTATGTCGTTGTCAGTTCTTCCAGGTAGCTGCGCCGCTATTATAGACCACCTATATACATATATATTCATAAATATATGAAAAACCCTTATTTGTATCATGATTTTAGGCCCTCGCTATATATAGCTAGATATAGGAAATTAGTTGCATCAATGTAATTAATCTAACTATGTATATAATATTAAGTGTATATACCTGCTTCCAATACTTATGTAGAGGCTGCAAATGATGTTGTCTTCTTCCTCAGAAAACCCTCCATGCTTGATGTTTGGGCGGAGATAATTCAACCATCTAAGCCGGCAGCTCTTCCCACATCTCTTAAGCCCTAAATTCATTCATAAAAAACTAAACAAATTAAACATAACCAATTTCATGTAACAAGTAAACTCTAATTTGACATTAAGTATAAAGAAGAGGAAGGGAGAGAGAGAGAGAGAGAGAGAGAGAGAGAGAGAGAGAGAGAGAGAGAGAGAGAGAGAGAGAGAGAGAGAGAGAGAGAGAGAGAGAGAGAGAGAGAGAGAGAGAGAGAGAGAGAGAGAGAGAGAGAGAGAGAGAGAGAGAGAGAGAGAGAGAGAGAGAGAGAGAGAGAGAGAGAGAGAGAGAGAGAGAGAGAGAGAGAGAGAGAGAGAGAGAGAGAGAGAGAGAGAGAGAGAGAGAGAGAGAGAGAGAGAGAGAGAGAGAGAGAGAGAGAGAGAGAGAGAGAGAGAGAGAGAGAGAGAGAGAGAGAGAGAGAGAGAGAGAGAGAGAGAGAGAGAGAGAGAGAGAGAGAGAGAGAGAGAGAGAGAGAGAGAGAGAGAGAGAGAGAGAGAGAGAGAGAGAGAGAGAGAGAGAGAGAGAGAGAGAGAGAGAGAGAGAGAGAGAGAGAGAGAGAGAGAGAGAGAGAGAGAGAGAGAGAGAGAGAGAGAGAGAGAGAGAGAGAGAGAGATTAAATAGGTTAATTGTAAAGTGTGATGAAAAAGGGGATAAGCATGGTTCCCGGAACGGGGCCAAGTGGAATTTAAAAAGGGTGTGGCAAAAAGAAGTGTGAGTTTGAATAGAAAATTGGAAGGAAATGAGTGTGCCAGAATGGAAGCAAGGATTTTCTTCTTGTCTTTCTTAGTCCAGAATCATGCCTTTTATTTATATCATCACATCAGGATTGCTATTTTTCTTGGAACTACAAATTCTAACGACATCCTCACCGTCTAGTACGCTGGGACATACATACATTAATATTTTGGCACTGTATTATAAATAACCCCATATACTTAGGACATATCTAATATTACCGTACATATTATTATAATTAATTCACAGTTTTCATTTATATTCACTCTCAAAATGTGTGAAGTACACGGCGGTATAAAGATAATATTTAAACATGTTCTCTTTTCAGATAGTGTGACAACTCATTATTATGATCATCCTTACTTAAATACGGGTAAAAAAACATTATCATTTATATGCATTATACATATGTGAAACATGTTTGTAATTCGATTACTCAAACTCACATTTCTTTTCTTGTTTATTTTTCTTTTTGGTAAATTGTTACGTAGCCTTTCTCCCTTTATTTCCATCACTAAAAGTCAGCCTCTAGGTTTTAACCAAAAAATGAGAAAACCTATAGCGGGGGTTCTAGAAGCAAAATGACAAGCCGTTAACAGAGATTGAAACTGAGTGGAAATTAGTGTACATGTTCCTTTTTGGTAGGTGACCAAATGACCAACAAGAGAAGAAGAAGGCAAGACAATTAGAAACCATTTTGATGACATTGATGGTTAATTTGTTCGATCCCCAGAAAAAAGAAAAAGAAAAAAGTACACTTATTGCGTAGGGGCCTAAGACTGCCCTACACCCTAGAGGATAGTTTCCACTGCTAGTGACCCCGACCATGCAGCTATCCTTATGTGTGGTGCCACGTAGGGTTTCTTGCGCAAATTAAATTGGTAATATGGTATTTACAAATTGGGGTATATAATTTTTATGTAATTGACTACAAAGTGCTAAAAGATTTTATATTTTTTTTTCCATTTTTTTAATGTCAGTCAAATTAAACGGAGATAACTTCTAGACTTGTAATTTGGAATGACATGCAAATTAATTTCCAAGTCAACTAGAATGGCAAAACTACATAAGAATAGCAGGGAAATTAATTTGTAAGTAAACTAATTAATAATAGTTAATTAATCATAGAGCAATGTGTAATGGGAGGCCAAAAGCAAACATGAAATTCAAATGCAGACGTTATGAAGATGCAATGAATAATTAGAGTTGGTGGGGGCAAAGCGTCAAATCAGTATGTCGTCATTTGCTTGACCTTTGTCCTTTGGTTTGCTGGTCATCTCTGTCCTGTCCCTCCAGGTTTTGTTATGTGAGTGCTTCACAGAAGAAAATCAAGCAAAATCGAGCAGCCATGCATAAAAAGCTTAGGCAACCCAGCGGTTTATATTATCTCACCACATTCCTCATCATGTCTACCAATCTGCACCAACTAACTTCTTATTACTAAGCGTCGCGTTTTGTGTGCGCCGCCGCTGCCTCTTCCCAATTCATTCTCATGTCGATTTCTATATATATCAACAGTTGATAGTCATTTATGTGCGTGAATATGAACGTTAAACTTATATCAATCGTTGATAGCCACTTAAGCCTGTAAAAATTAATCCTTCACGTACCATGTTTTAACGTATCGAGTCTATATTTTCATGTTAAGCCACTTGAAAATAATTTAATTACTGATGTATTTAAAATGCAAAGAGTTTGAAAAACATAACATTTGAAATTTGCAACACAATACAAAATTCTAAAGAAACAAAAGTAGAAACGCTAAGGCTTCCATGAATAAAGTATGAACAGAGCAATAATATAATAGATATGAAGATTTTGTGATGCCTCTGATGGATCGATCCATATATTTCCAATCTTGAATGGACCTACATATTTCAACAAGCAGTACTATTTTTTTGACAATCTTTGCAATTCTCACATCCATTCCTTCTCCAGGTTCTTTGTGATTTACTTTCTCTGTTTTTGACCATAACTTAAAAAGTAATGTATATTTTAATTTGATGGCACACAACACAACACATACGCCAAGTCAATTAGCTGTATCTCTACGCAACTCAATTATATTTCTTGCTTATTTTTGTTTTGTCAAATGCAAACCAACCTTCAAAGTTGTCAACCCCTTTTACACCATTACATGTTTGATTAATTTGTCTACAATTGTTGTATACTTACTATATAATGGTTCTACAAAATTGGTCACGTCACTAGCACGTAAAGAAAAGTTGTATACACCGTTATAAAAATAGGAATTTACTGCTACTTTCACGAAATTTAGTCAAAAAATTAGTCCATTTTACACCAACAGCTCCTTAAATGAAAAAAGAAAAAAGAAAAAAGAAAAATATGGGCAAACCTTTTATTGCACAAGCATGATGAGGTGGGAGTCCTACTTTCCACAAAGCTTTTCTGGGTGGGTCAACAAGGTGTAACTGGTAGAGAAATACTTCATTTGTATAGGCCAATAGATTATCTTTAATTAATGCATATGCATGGCTGGCTATATATGCTGCTGGTGCATACACGTTGCAGCCAATGACCATAAATGGAAGCACATACTGAAACTTCATCTCCATGACCAAATGCCCAATGCACACAGTTTTTCCAATGTGTTCAGTCATGCATGATGCATGAACAGTTTTTCTTATGTCTATACTCGGTAAATAAGCATCAAATTTAGATATTGTGAAGGCGTCAATTTAAATTTTCTCTGGTTTATTATGTGACATTCAAAGTTGGTGACTTTTTCCAGTTTGCCAACTGAAATTTCAAAAATTTGGTGAAATGATTACATAAACAAGTTTAGCTGAAATAATTGACACACAACATTTTAGCAATTATCATTTTTTGAAAGATTATCTAACTAATGCTCCCCATTTAAGATATATATATATAATATTCAAAGTAGAAATTACATTGCTTGCAACCATATCTACAAGCCAAATTTTAATCACATTTGAAAAATTCTATGGGCTTTAGAAGAGAGAGCCCAAACTTAATACCAAATTCTAGCCCAATCTCTCCCAAAAAACCCTCCTAGAGCTGTTTTCACTTTGAGGGGTGAGGAAGCCACTGTTTTTCCTCCCCTCTCCCCTCTTCTCTTCCTCCCTCGAAGTGAAGCCACTGTTTTCACTTTGAGGGCCGTTATTGTAATGGCCCTTTGTGGCTAGTGTCTTTTTTGGATGAATTATTAATGCAATCCTAAAATTTCTCCCAAAAAAGAAAAAGAAAAGAGATAGATAAAAAAAAAAGGAGTTGTAACAAGTGGTGGGGGCTGAATTGGGTTACCATATCACGTTAAGCACACACACTAATGTCTCAAACAATATAGTAATCACATTAAATTAAAGGGCTTGTCTGATATAGGTCCCTACAATTTCTATTTCCTAGACATATACCCATCATTCTATAAATCTATGTGTAAAACCCAATTTCAAACTTAAGATATAATAGGTCATAGTATTCCTATGTTTTTACATCCTTGCCATCAGACTTCATATTTTATTTATAATTTATTCCAAGCATTTCATTAACTGCCATAATTGTAATTAAAACTCCCTATTAATAGCATAGCAATCACCCCATTTCTTTTGGTTGCCATTCCCCTAAAATTGCAAAAAAAAAAAGAAAAAGTAAATTACATATCCAATAATGTATATATGAAAAATATAAATATAAATATATATGTATAAAAATATTGGTATATTATTTACCAAAAAAAATTAACAAAAATAGGTCAGTTACTTTGTAATTGAAATTTCCGTACATTTTTCAGGAATTAAAAATAGGTACACAATAATTTATAGAAAATAGGTATGTCGTATAATTGAAATTTATGCACATTTTTTATAAATTAAAAATAGGTACATTATTTAGAAGAAAAAAATAAGTGCATTATACTAGGTAAATTGTTTTACTAGGTATACATTATTAGAGAAAAAAAAA